AAAAATTTTTTGTCTCAAAAAGAATTTACAAAAAAAAAGACAATAAAATAAAAATAAAATGACTTGGATACCAACTAAGCATGAAAAATCTGTAAAATTTATTAGCACAGATAGTCGTTTAGATAGCAATTTTTTGTTCGAATGTATCTTTAGAAGAAACAAAAAATTTCTTGTTTTACAACAATGTACGTGGGCAATCTAAAACTTAAAAAACGAATATTTGCATTCATTACTTTTGTATACGAAGCTCAAATTAAGAAATGCCAAGCAAATGGTTTATGTTTTAGTGACTTCATTTCTTGGTTCAAAATCGTACAAGAAACTTGGACAATCTCCAGAAATTTTGTAACCATCTCTCATTTATATATTTGGAAAATCAATTTTGCACCGCATGATGTCGTGTCCATCACTTATTTAGATATAAAAAGTGAATTTAAAAAGGAATTTAAAAAATAAATATTTTTTACTTATTTAAAATATACTTAAATTTTTAAAAAGTCACAAAACTTTTGAAATTAATCAAAATCGAAAAGTCAGCACCACAAACACACAACATTTTAATGACAGTGCAAATTTAACATGCACTGCACATATCAAACATTAGCAGTTTTGTAAAAAAAACTTAAGACAATCATTTTTATAACTGTTTTATTAACAATAACAAACTTTACTTCGAAAGTTTTGTCTTTTGAATTTTGAATTCGAAAGAAACTTAAATTGAAATCACATCAATCCTACAGTATACATATTTCTCTCAGCTATGCAATAAAATTAATGTATTGCAATATCGTCTCATATACTTATCCTATGATCTTCTTCGTGATCATTCACAAATGTTCTAATTTTGAACAATGAAAGAGTAAATTTGATTAAATAAACTTTTTCGATTTTGGGCAAGGAATGTACTTAATAAATCCACTAATGAACATTAGCATAGCAGCAATTTCAGTTCAACAAGCGGTATAAATATCCAAAAATTAACAAACCAAATTTAACAAACGGAGATTGTTTTTAAGAAATCCTAACTCTTTTCTAAAGTTTGAGAAAAATTATAAGATTTGCCTAAACTATATCACGACATTTTATGTACTAAATATTTTAATGTTTCACATTTTCGATATTCTTGTATTTTTATATGATGATGATTATACTTTACTGATTAACTAGAAAGCTATAAGAAATTAGTTAATTGAAAATTTATATGAAATATGTTAATTTAGTCATTATTCGATAGTAAAAGCAAAAAAAAAAAACAAAAAAAAAAAATTAAATAAATAATAATGAAAACTGGTTTATTAATTATTTTACTACGTTTTTATTTTCTTCCACTTATGGTTTCCATTTGGTGAAATGATGAATAAAAGTAAAATATCCAGCTAGGTATATATGTATATAAAAGTATGTGAGTTTATAATAATAAATCATAGGAATCGATAAAAAAATTTTTAACATTTTAAGCTTCCAAATTTTTTTTTTTTTTCGTAAGATATTTTCGAGCTCCCTTACAAGTATAGCTCACAATTTTAAAATACAAAATGATAGTTTAACAATAAAATGAAATAGAATTTAAAATATTTATCTATAAATCAAATAAAACAAGAATAGCACGCAAAAATAACTTGAAAAATGAAAAAATTTCTAAATCATAAAGAAATTCATACAAGAAATTTCAAAAAAAACGAATTCATATTCGAATTTTCAATATTCTCTGATTTTGTAAATTAAAGAATCAAATATTTTGATTTCTCTATATTTTTTCAAAATTAACTGTTATACATTCTTACATAACTGTGTTTACTTTTTACAACTATAACTGTGTTTCTTTCTTTCTAATTCAAATTTATTACTTTTAATATAAAATTTTTTTTTTCCTTTGCAAATTTAATAGTGTTGGAATAAGAAAAACAAACAGATTAGAATAAAATATTGAATTGTGCTACTTTCACTGCTAATAATCAATGCGAAAACGCTATAGGGGTGATGATTTTAAGATTTTAACACAAATTAATTTTAACATACTTGATTAGAACTAAATAACAGAATTACATTGTTGTTTTTTCGAAAATAGAAATTTTGTGAAATCTTGTGCTTCCGGATTGGAATTCATGTTGACTGTTTCAAAAATTTAAGTAATTTTAAAAAAATTTATTAAAAATGAATATTTGACTTATTCAAAATTATATTGAAAAAGGCATTCAATTGCTGGATTCTAGTTGGAGAAAATGTTTAAAACTCATTTTACATAATCAGTCCAATTTAAAGTAAAATTATTGGATAGGCAGTCAATATTTGAGCACAATATTCAAAACAAAGCTAGTCACCTACCTAGCTAACTCTCTATGACTATAGAAACTAGGACATGATATCATGAACTAACCCTATGCTCCTCGTAGGAGTGAAGAAGGAAAAACAAAAACACATAGGATTCGAATTGAAATTTAAAGGTTGGCTAATATACTAATAATAAAATAATTTTAAATAAACTAATATTTAATATTTACACAAAAAAAAAGACTTTTTAATTAATCTTTAATTTTCGCGAACATCTTTTTTTTTTGGTTTGTGAATTTTTTATTCCTACTCTAAATCAAGTTTTTGAGTTCAAACACCTAAATATCGACCTTCTAGCATTAAAATTAATTTTTCTCGTGGTAGCATAAATTGTTTCAACTTATTATTAACCATTTAATTTTCTTGTCACGAATTGATTAGTAGATTCTTTAACTTTTTTTTAAATACACTTTTGTATATATTTATGAATTATATAAAAGTGTATACAAGTTTCGTTATTTGTGAATAACGAAAAATAAAAACTTTTTTTTTTGTTGTTTTGCGCTTAAGAAATTTTTAACATTTTTTCTCTTTTAATTCTTTTAAATTTTAAATTTTTTTTTCTTACTGTAATTCCATTTTTTATAAAACATTTACATTACAAAAAAAAAACATTACTTGAAAAATAGGTGGGATAATTCCTACCCTTGAGGAATATTGAATATTGATCAGCAAATTACAATACAAAATCGCTACTTTTTAAACCAAATTGTTTAAATAAATTTCTTGGGTATACTTATATGAAAGTTTTATAATATTTGCAATATAAGCATGTTGATTGCTAAATAATTATCTTTAAATATAGTTATATTCGAGATTACGTTTCAATGATCTATTTTTTTTTTTTGTGTGACGAAGTTATCTGAAGTTAAAGACATTAAAGGATTAATAATGTGATAGAAACTAATTTTTTTCTGAAATAATTTTTCAATTATAGTTAACTTGTTGTTGCTTAGCTATTTTCTGTTCTTTTATGAAAGCAAAATATTGAATATAAATGATCATAATTAATTAATATACTTTTGATAAATATTTGACTTATTTATTTTAAGTAAAATGTTTATTTAAATTCTTATTATTTGCCATAAATTTAGCCAATTACAACTGAGCGTAAAAAAATTTATTTAAATAATTCCCTAACGTTTATGTCACTTTGAGTCATACTAAAATCAGTTTAAAAATAGTTAGCCATATTAAATTTACTATAAATTATCGATAATCTCCGGCGCTTAGCTAAAATGATGATGCAACAGACTTTTTCAATATAATTTAAAACCACAATATAATCTATATATGTATTTATGAGATCAATTCAGAGACCTTTAATTTTAAATTCAATTAAAATTGTATTTAACATTATTTGCATTTTAATAATGTTTAATAATATATTTAATTTTCATTATTATTCAGGGGAATCTTTCTGAATCTCATGGTAAAAAATTTTTCAAAATACAAAACTATAAAATTTTTAAGCATTGAACAAAATCTGATTATTAAGTGTTCAATATAAGCACAACATAGAACAAAAAAAAAAATATTATTTATCTATGGTTTTAAAAAAACTATTAAATAAATTCCCATAAACAATAATTTTCAGATAATTTTAGAAATAAAAGGAAGCATGAAAACACAAACCTATTTTTACACTAAATAATTTTTTATTTTTCTTTTTTTTGTAATGCAATTTAATTGTAAAATATATTTTGTGTGATATAAAACTTCAATAACAAGTAATTTAGCTTATAATTTAAAATAATTATTCAATGCAAATGCTTTTTCGTTAATGTTGAGTAATCATATTCACTTTAATGGAATTAATGCTTAAACATTCATAAATTTTTCTAGCATTTTTTTTAGCTCTTTTCATAACAAAAGTATTTAAAAGTAAACAAAACATTTATGTATGAAAAAACATAATTAAAAAAATTTGAATAAAATTTGCATCACAAATTATAAACAAAATTAGTTTAATGGGTTATAAAGTTCTGTTAGTAATTATTCTTGATTTATTTTCATACACTTATGTAATTGTAAAAGCAGAAGTTTTCGCGTAAATTTTACCGACTTACAAACTAATACTTTTTTGAAACCTATTTCTTTAGCAATTATGACTTTTTAAAATTATTACAAATAATACTTAAATGGTTTTACTCTGCTTTGCAGCTAAAATATCTGTTAGTTAAACTTTACAATAGCTTTCTTACAAAAAAAAAAGTTTTGCTCATTAATTGTCAGCTTTTATAGAAATACAGAGCAAATTTGGAGTACCTGCACTGGGTTCTTATTTGCCAGATATGTATATTACAGTTTATAGTTGCATAGTAAGATCGTGTGCAACATAAAAACGAAAATGATTATAAAATTCTATTTCCCTTGTTATATTCATACACTACATACATAGTTATAAATACATATCGGACTTAATTCATCTCAACACATGTTAGAAAATTCACATATTTATGTATATGCAAGTAAACTTTCAAGTGAAATATGAGTGGTCCATACAATTTTCTAGTAAAATTCTATAATTGTTTTCAATACTTGTTCAATAAAAGTGTTCAATCAAAGTGTTTTCTAAAAAGCTTTAACAAAATATTTACTTAATCAAATTACCTACCTCACAAATAATTTATGTAATTTGAAATGTATCTTATTTTTAAAAAGGATACAATTGGTAAAGCTTGATTCCTGAAACGTACAACAGTAAATGGATTCGATGGCGTAGCTACATCTAATAAATGATGTGGAACTTCCTTTTGTTCTTCTTTGGTAGCTTTCGCTGTAACAATATCCAAATTTGCATAAACCTGTAAAAATAAGTTTTCAAAATACATTTGTACACTTAAAATATGAAGGAGGTAAATACAATATGTAAAAATAACTTGATCATAAAATTATTCTACAAATTTTATGTTGATTTTGAAAAGGACATCGCTTTTGAAATGTTCACAGAATATATTCCCATTGTAAAAATGCCAATGTGAACAATGCAATTATTATTAATTTACTCAAACATAAAAAGTTACAGTTATTTGTAATGGATAAAAAGGTATGTTTATTAGCAGAAAAGGAGTTGTCATTAGGTAGATGAAATACAATATGTATGTATGTACTTTACATATGTACATATGTATGTGCTCATATTATGATGTACCTACCTACATATATTGGTAATTTTTACATCGAAAAGTTAGTGCTTTTGTCTCAAATTCAACTGGTATAGCTAGGTACCTACTACTAATTTAAAATTGGCAATAACGTTGTTATAAAACTTTCAATTTTCATACTTACATACATTACATACATACATATGTGGGTATGTACATAAACAGGTTAAAATTTACATGTTCCAATGAGTGTACGGGTGTCTCTAATTTCACTTTTTAATTTTCAATCTCTTTTTTTCAATTAGCCAACAAAAAAATATTACCTAAGAATTTGATAATTACATTTATCTGAAATATCTTAATAGGATTTAAAGCCTTACATGTAACTGTTAATTTTATGGATACTAAAAGGACACACAATGTATTCCACAAGAATTTTAATTGTACTTAATATACATATGTATTATCTACAATCTAACAAGTAATTATAACGCTTACTTTTTGCGCCTAAACATTTCCAGTCTATAACGGCTCTTTGGCATTTCTGACATTCAATACGTACATACATACATGTGTGTGTATATTTTCTAATTTGTTTATTTTAGAAAAACCATCATATTGTCTACGGTATCTTTTACAAAACATCGTACATACATAATGTAAATAGAAACGAATGCATACTATATAAAAGATTTTGCAGATTGCAATATTGCTCATGTATTCATTATAAAATTCAAGCAAAAACTTATTTTTAAACTTTGGTATTATTTCACTTATAAAACATAATACAAAATCTTAAAATATTAACTAAATATATTTTAAAAATTTCAATTTACTTGCATAGAATCAGCACTTATAATTTCTGAAGCAAAACGTTTTGCTAATTCAATTGATAATTTAGTTTTGCCAGTTCCAGTTGAACCTAATATCACAATTAAAGGTATTTTCGACATTGTTTATAATTATTTATTATTTAAAATATATATTTTTCTATTTAAATAATTTAATTTTAAATTTACACTTTTATTTTTTTCATATTTTTACCGGCACTTAAAAACAAAACGAGTAAAATTTCACGAAAAATCTCACTACTAAAGATTGTTATTGCTAAAACACATGGAAAAACGTCAGAATTGAAATATAAACAAAAACACTCGTGTAAGGTTGTTGCTGATTAATTGTCATTTTTGCTTTTATGGAAACAAGTTTATGCCAGTGGTAAAATTGATTCATACTGATAATGCTGTTCCATGTTTATTTTCACTTGTATATTAGAAGTAAAAATTAAAATGGATATTATTTTATATTTTTGTTGTTTAAGAAATATTTGAGTAAATATAAAAATACATACATTTAATTATAAAATATAATGTGATTATTTGAAATTTAAAACAAAACTATAAACACTAAAACAGAAGTACGAAAATTTTTTCAGTATTATTTTCGAGTCTCGATTGATTTTGACAGATTAAAATTTAAAAGTATCATTGTGTGTAAATTAACCGTAACAAAATTTTTAATTGAATTTTTGTTGGTAAGAATTGGAGATTAGAAAATGAAAGTGATTGAAAAATATTTTAAAATTCAATTAAATAGTGTTTTTGTTATGAAATTCAGAGAAGATAGGTAAGTATAATTGGTTAAATATTTGTTTCGTACTTGCAGCTTGCAAAATTATATTATTAACATAATATTTTCAAAACACAATATGTATGGACATACTTACTTGTATGAACATTGACGCATTGAATATTCAGTGGAGATTTCTTCAGGTTTTAGAATAGCTAATGTGATGAAGAAGTCGTTAAATTATTTACAAAATTTAATTAATGGAATATTTGTGTATGAAACATCAGAAACATCATTTTGTCAGAAACATTATTTTATACATGCCTGTATAAAAGTACCTTATGTGGACAAATGTTTTTTTTTTGGTTTCATATGTATGTATGTATGTACCTATAAATATAATGAAATTCTTATTTGGTGATGTTTTCCCACGCTCGTACATATGTACATATTTATGTCTTTGGAATATATTTTAGGTTTATTATTATTAGGAATTTTGATTTTGAGATTATAGAACTTCTCCAAATTGCAGTAAATGAACTACTTTCTTGTTTTAGTCAGTTTGAAAGGGAATTGTTTTTAATTATTGTTCCTTGGTGAGGTTTTTACATCTCTCCCAGCATATTATTTGCACAATACTGTTCATATTTGTGTTACACATCTGATTTTTCATTCTTTTGAAAAATCAGATGTGTAAATCTTAAAAATGTATTTGTCTGTAATTTTACTTGTTCTCAATTAACGTTTCATATACGAATGGAAACTTAAAGAAAATCATTTTGGTTCTTCGAATACTATAACATTTTTCTTAAAATTTCTGCTGCGAATTCACTCAGTGTCCCACAATATGTATGTATGTATATATTCACTATATACATACATATGTAAGTATATAAATTTAATATGTACATACATACATACATATGTATTTATTTTAAAATTTCTATTCAATTTTAAAGTTTTCCATACTTTTATATTTTGGCTATTTTTAAAATTTGAATTTTCAGATAACAAATTTAACGTTCACTAATATTAACGTTTAGATATTCAAAGGAAAATGCTGTGTTGCTTACAAGTTTTATCATATCAAATTTTATGTGTTTAATTTAAACCATAAATTTTTTGTTTTCATTTTCAAAATGTTTTACATTTCTTAAAAGGAACGTCGTCCCGTTGGCATTCAGGGCTATGCATATCCAAAAATAGCCATATAAAAAAAACTTATTTTATATTTTTTGTTTTCACTTTTTTTTAAATTTATTTTTGAAATCGTGATCGTCACAGCTCACTATATTTAATGAAAAAATGTCACAATCTAAAAGTACACTCTTACATACATATGTACATATATTCATATATAAGGTATTATATACGAGCATAGTGGAGCGTTTTGAAATATATACACGTGTAAGAATGTATGTGCTCATATGCATCTATCAGTATCAGTGTATAGCTATTCCAAAATATTATAAATTAGAAATTATCAGTGGAAAAAATATATTTTTAACGCCTTAATATTTACATTATAAAGTATGATTTTTTTTTGTTTTTGTTTTACATTATGGTCCCCATCTTTTTCCTTAATAATTAAAAGAAAATTTTCAACAAAAAAAAGAAATACTCAGTTTCGGTAGCTTGGGCATCACGTAAAAACAAATAAAATTCATTTTTTATATTCACTAATTTTTTTTGTGTATATTTTTATATTATTATTTTTAAAATAAAGTATAGGACATTCACCTTTACAAAAGAGATCCGCGGCTTTTCTTTTATTTTAAAATAATTTGCTACCACTAACTTAGTTCATTATGTAATTTATTAAATAAATATTGAAAAAGACAATAATAATAAAAATATTAGGCAATCTATTGATAAGAAATTTGAAAACGTTTTATTGTTTGATTATTTTTTTGTTTTTAAATTGTGGGAATATCATTGACAATTGGAAAAAACAAGGTGTAAAAAATTTCTTTCGTTCGATTCTTCTCAAAGAGAAGAATGGTTCTTATCTTGATAATAGAGCCTTTAGATTTGAAAATAGTATAAAATATAAATTATTAGAAATATTTTTGAAATTGAAATTTTAAAATCTCTATGATGTTTTTGAATTGTGATAGTAAGTAATCTTAGAAGTGGATTTATTCTTTTATTATAAGAGTCTCAAAAGAAACACTAAAATATTAAAAATGATATTATAATTTTAATATTGTATCGGGTTGTTTTATAAGAAAATAACATCTATATGTATATATTTTTGGGAACAATTGCCCCTTTTCTCACAGTTAAAATTGTATCTGTTACTACTATATAAGGTTGTCAATTTCTATTCAAACTATTAGCGGCGGCATCGCAACACATGTTAAAAGTTCAGAGACAAATCAATCTAATTAACATGATAAATGTTTCTTCCAAAAACAAAACGTAGATCAGCGAGTTTTCATAATTAATTTTTGTAAGTTAAAGCAAGTAATTATAATCGTGTATTGATTATAATTGAGGTTTTTAATTTTTGCAATTTTTATTATGGGGTCTTATCTTACATTCCTATATTTTTTTTTTAATTTTTAAATATATTATTTGCCTCAATTCTTAATTTATGAATTACCGGTATTGCTATCATCTTTGAGTTTATTATAGACTTAATATTGGAACTTAAATAAGTTGTCACCATAATAGTCAAAAATTTAATTATGTTGGAGTTTAATTATGAACTGCAGCTTAAGGTTTTGAATTTAGAAGATTGAATGTTAGAAAATTTAATCCAAAGGGTTTATCGAATTAGGGTGCCGAAGGTTAATCGAAGTAGGAAAATTTGCTTAAATTTGCAATAAATTTTTATTCTTTTGATGATAAAATTTATTTACTATGTTTTCAAGATTTCTCATCTATTTTAGTACAAATTGAAGAGTGAAGACCTTTTAGATTTTTTTAACAAATTATCAGTGTTATTTTTTTTATTGTTTCATAAAATTCTCTTTGAATTCTTCTAGTCAATTTTATGGGATAACATTTTGCTGACAAGAAGTGGAAGCTGATAATGAGACTTCTTTAAAAGGGTTATCGATTTTTTCGTATAATTTAACCGAAAAATATCGCCTGAAATCTTATTATAAAAATCAATTACATCTGTATATGTATACAAAAATGTTCCAATCAAGAAAACGATTTTTTAAACATCCCTTTAAATTTTAGTATTTTAATTAAATATTTGTTGTTATAAATATATACATATGTATATGTGTTAATATTTCATTACAAAATTATGAAAAAGAGTTGTCTGTCAATTCTAATTATTTATTTTAATTTTAAATTTTAACAAATCGTGACATTTCTTAAAATTTTAAAGTACCTTTTTTTTGTTCTTAAAATTGTTCGACGGTTGCCGTTACAATAAAATTATAGAGAAAAAGTTCAAATTCAAGTTATAATAAAATAAATTAATTGCGAGAAAGCACATTCTTTAAGGTAGAAATTTAATAGGAGGGCAAATTTAATAGCAAATTTAAAATCAAATTTTAAGAAATTAATATTAGAGCAATAATAATCTTCAATCTAAGTTGGAACTCAGTTTTTCACTCAGAAGCACATTGAACTGCAATTTTTTGTTTCGAGTTTTTAAAGAAAAAATTAAAAATCTAGTTTTCACGGGCTTTATATCGAAAACTGTGGTTCAAATCTAAATGATTCTAAGATCGAAAAAGAACAATATCCAAATGATTAGTCTTTGGCGCATGGTTCCGAAGTTATAAACATTTATTTCTATGCAAGAAAAATTTGGTACTTCTTTTTTCAACACGTTGTAGCCCGAAAACGAGTATAACTCCACGCCCCTCCCCACCCGTACAATTTTTTTGCTGAAAATTAATTAAAGAATCTTCCCTGTAGTTATTTGCCATCTTATCAGAAACACAAAAATTTAGTTACTTTAAAATATTAAAGCTGTAGTATTAAAGGGTGAAAACTTAAAACTATTTCCTTAAAATAAAAACTTCACAGGATTTTGGCAAGTTCACATTGTACATTAGTTCTAATAATTTTCTAGAGGAGATAACATTACTTGTATTTCATTACATTATACTTGGTCAACAAATTTAGCAAGCGTTTTACAAAGTACTAAAATTTTTGCAATACAAAATATTTTGATTTTAGTGACGATTGCTGATCGCGAATCGGCTTGTAATGCTCATATTTACTAAACAGTCAGACACAACAAAATAAATAAGTATGTTTATTTATTTCAAATTTACTTGACAGCGTATACGAGTAACTAACGAGGACTTTTCAACATTATTATAGGACTTCTAGAAGTAATTTAAAAATTTCCTTTTCTTTAAGAAAAAGGTATAAAATAGAATATTGTTGTTGCTTTAATACACATACATTTCTACATAATTGCGTTACTTGGTATGCGCTTAGTTTCCTTATGTATACCTTATATTTATTTTGTTTTAAGGAAAAGATTTACTTTTATTATTTCTATCTACAACTTATGTAACTATATTATTTTATGATTGACATAACTGTTTATAAAACTATGAAGAACAGTGAAATGATTTATTAAAATTATATAACAATTATACGATTACTTTTGTTCCGTGCTATTATAATTAACTGTTTACAAAAAGGAATCCATATTGAAAAGGATAAACATTAAGGTACCAATATTATATCA